CTCTCTCTCTCTCTCTCTCACACACACACACACACCATCCCTGGTAGAGAAGTCTGCTCCTAGCCTCACACTCACAAGAGGGACACTTACAGATGACTTGATGCATCATCTTTTCTCCCCATTCTCCTTACCAGACTATGCAATTTCCAAGCCAGACCTGATGTCACAGATGGAGCGAGGGGAGAGGCCAACGGTGCCAGAACAAGACGACTCGGAGGAGGGCGAGGCGCCCACAGATCCTAGTGCTGGTGAGTTGGCTGATGGCTGGTCCAGAGTGCTGGATTCTAGATCTTTCATACAATCCAAGGTGGGCTCTGGAGAGCTGCGCTAGCAAGTTGTGTGCAGAAGAGAGTCAGCTGGGGACCACTGTGATCAGTAAGAGTGCGTTGGGCTCACTCTTTGGGACTCTATGATGTGACCATGCGCCACCTCCTTTTTGTAGGAAATAAAGTAAGAGACTCAAGGAAAGGCAGCACCTTGTCAGAGCCCCTCCCTGAGAGTAACTGCGGGATCGGGAGAGGTTAGGGACCTCAGATAGATAAGTAGGGCTCTGGGCTGTGTCCTGGACTGCTTACCAGCGAAGTGGGTTTCGCTTCTCGGTCTCCTGAAGTCTGTTTCCCTAGCTACTAAATAGGGGGTGCTAACATCTGACCTGAAGGCTCAGCTGGGGATTGGCATGTCACAATGGCTCCCTAGGTGCTGACTTTTGTCAACCTGCTTCTGTCTTCTCACTGTTGGCTTTTCTGGGGCTAGGTAGTTTTGTATATGCATGTGTGTGTATGTGTGTGTGTGTGTGTACATGTGCATGTATGTAATATGTAGTGTCCTGGTATGGTGCTGTGGGTTCATGCGCTAGTCTGCAAGGTTAGTTTGAGCCTCAAGGTTGGTGGTTCAAACTCCCCAGTTGCTCCTCGGAAACGCTGTACAGGGAATCTAATACACAGAACTGACTTGAGGGCACGTAACAGCAAATGTGTGTGTGCATGCACCTAATCTGTGTATACTTATATGGAATGTGTGTTCATACATGTAATATGTGTGTGCATATGAGTGTGGTACTGTAGGATAAGTACTGGACCATAAGGTTGGTTTGAACTGCAAAGTTGGTGGTTTAAATCTACCAGCTGCTCCTTGGAAACCCCATACAGGGTTGCTATGAGCTGGTTGATATGAGACATCGAGTTCGATGGCACTTAATAGCAACGACATATGTGTGTGCATATACGTAGTGTGTATGTGTATCCATCGGCATAACACGCACATGTGCCCACATACATGTAACGTGCAGTATTGCTGTGTTGTCAGTCCATAATCTGGGCACAGGAATGTGCATGTATGTAGTCTGTGTGTGCACACACGCATATATGGGTAGCATGTGTGTCTCTCTGTGTGTGATATGTACACATGTCCACTTGCATATAGTATGCACTGCAATGTGTTCTGCATGTGCCAGTCCATAATGTGAGCACATGTGTGTGCATGTGTGTAGCATGTGTGCATGTGTGTAGCATGTGTGCGTGCACGTGTGGCCTGCACATATAGGTAGTATTGTGCGTGCATGTGTACATTCATGTAATGTGTGTAGGCGTGATGTACACGTGTGCACTTATATGTATATGTGTGTAAACTCTGTGAGATGGGGTGTAGGGGAGCAGTGACACTTTGTGTGTACGTAGCCCTGTGTGCACATATGTAATACAGGGAGCACGATATAGCCATAGGATAAGTACCACACTGTGAACCATAAAGTCGGCGGCTCAACCCTACCTCGGAAACCCTATATAGAGTTTCTAGGTGTCGAAACTGACTCAATAACACTTAATAACAACACAAAGAAGTTCGTGTTTTGAATCCCTGTTTGGAACTGCCTTTGGATTTCTGTCAGCTGTTTTGAAGATCTTCAGTGGAAGATCTAAAACAGTGTTCTGTTTTAGGCAGATATAGCATCTGGAAAGAGCCAAGTGGCAGGCCATCATGTCTTTGGAAAAAAGAGAGCATTTGGGGCCAAATGCTGGAGCTTGCGGTGAAGTCATCTCATTGATTTGAGGACCCATAAATTGGCCTGGAATCCTAGTGTAGCACTGTAGGATAAGCACTGGACTGCTAACTGCAAGAGCGGTGGTCCAAACCCACCAGTCACTCCTCACAAACCGTATACAGGGTCACTATGAGTGGGACCTGCCCCGATGAAACTAACAACAGCAGATTGCCTCAGTAGGGGTCCAGAAGCCACGGAACCATGTCCAGCCCTCGTGCTAAGTGTGAAGTTGACTTACAGGAGAGACAGGCTAGTGTTGGTGTGTCTGTCCGGAGAAAGCCCATGTCAGCGCTTTCTGGAGAGTTGCCTGCATGTTTCAACTAATCATCTTGGCAAAAAAAAAACAAAATAAAAAAAGTGAATTTAAAGGAGATAAGGGTGGGAGATAGGGTGAGGTGTGGCACCAACCCAGCCTGAAAGATCTTTTGCTTGTTGTTGTTGTTGTTAGGTGCCATCAAGTTGGTACCGACCCATAGCGACATTATATACAGCAGAACGAAACATTGCCTGATCCTGGGCCAACCTCACTACTGTTGCCACGCTTGAGTCCGTCGATGCTGCCACTTGGCCAGTCCATCTCGTTGGGGGTCTTCCTCTTTTTCTCTGACCCTCCATCTTACCAAACATAATATCCATCTCCAGTGACTGGTCCCTCCTGACAAT